TCTCTCTCTCTCTCTCTCTCTTTCTCTCTCTCTTTCTCTCTTTCTCTTTCTCTCTCTTACATTGGACGTGTTGTTGAGAAATGCTCATAGGCCAAAACTCCAGCCAAAATAAAGATTAAAATAATCTCACCATAAAAAGAATGAGTCAAGATTTTTTAAAACCAACATGGTCATTTCCTTTCCCGAAGGACCCAAATGTGGATACTACTCAGTTTGGTGAAACTCCAGAGGATTCAGGACAGACTGGCGAAAAACAGGTAAGTTTTTTAAGACATTGTGATTGATAGATGAGTGTACTTTCATATAATAGCTTTACTAATTGCAAATCCTATACCATCTGGCCACAGCCTCTCTGTGTTTTTTTCTCTCCATCTGCCATTCCCTCATCATTGGTCTGTGTCGGTGGTTGGCGGGTGCTCTGGTGTGGTTTGCTCCTTCTTTCCTATCAAACATCTATCGTCCTGATCTCCCCCTTTTCTTTTTTATGTTTGTTACTCTCTTGTAACACCTCTAATCTTCTGGTGCTCATATGACCTTATGCAGTTGTGAGCACCGTAAAACCTCCTCTAAAACAAAACAGCTGTCTGTCTGTCTGTCTGTCTGTCTGTCTGTCTGTCTGTCTGTCTGTCTGTCTGTCCCTCACACACATACTCGCCAACTTCAACATTGAACGCTTGCCCATGCGCACAAAGGCATGACACCCCCATCCCTCCCAGGGTAGTGCCACGGACTGAAGTGTCTTTAGGCCATTCCCAAAGAGGGATATAAACATGTTCGGATGCACAGTAGAGTTGTAAATGGGATGATTTATCAATGGCATACTGTGCCGGAACAACATAGGGGGAACTGCTGCTTTTTCTTTCTTCATCCATACTATCGTCATTTCCCTCTAATTCTCTTGTATGCTTGTCCCTGTCTTGTGAACTGCTATTTCCTGGGTGCCTTGATAGTCAAAGCAAACTTTGTGCAGTTGAGGCTAGAGAGGTGAGCAGAGTAATCCTGATTCCCCGTTTGGACTTCTCTGTAGACATCCACCCCTTGGCGCTCATATGACCTTATGCAGTTGCGAGCGCCGTAAAACTTTTCTTTTAAAAAAGGCAAAACACAAACACATGCATAGACTCATAGTCTAAACGAAGACAAGGGGGTGAGAAAGGGTGAGAATTGAAGAATGATCGTATTTGTTCGGTGAGTGGTTGGCGGTTTTTTTTATAGTTAAAACATTGTTTCATTAATAAATTGATTAAGAAGCTACGTAGTACATGTAATGTAGGGCTATTAGATACCGTGTTAACCGTTTATTAAAGGTGGATCCTGAAAATTTACTGGTCTGACACTGTAAGTAATTAAGAAAGTATGACTGGAAACAAATCAACAAAAAATGAATATAGAAATCAGTCAGAAAAATGGAAGTGAATTGGATACACGTTGAGAAAGCCGAATTCGAATATTACCCACCAAGCTTTAAGATGAGATTCAAAAGGAAAATAAAGAAGGCCTAAAAAACACTTGAAGGAGGGACTTAGATTCAGACTTGAAAGAGATTGAATATATACATGTAGCTGGAGAGAATTGGAGACTATAGTTCAGGAGAAAGTAGAAGGAGAGCTCTAGTTGGTGGCTCATAGTTTGCACAGGGTTGTTGATGATTATGATGGTGTCTTAAGCACAGGTTATTTTCACCAAACTCAAAAAGGCTGCCCTGTTAATTGACCTTCTAGCTAGTGGAAAACGCAAGCACTGGTCTCAACCGCGATTGTTATCTAATCCCACGCAATTCGCTATCAAAGTGAAAAAAGGGGGCGGGGTGGGGGGTGTGTTCTCTCCTTCTCCGCTCTTTTGAAAAAGAATGGGAAAGATAGCACTGTTGAACCAAGGATCATTTCCTCACCCTTTTTGTTTGTCTTTCAACATTAAAAAAATGTCGTTGCTAATTTACAAAACACGAGTCAGATGAAAGATGTCATACTTCAGTTAACATGGCCGGTCTTAAAGAATACGCACACACGCGCGCGCGCGCGCGCACACACACACACACACACACATATATACACACATGCACATACACACATGCACATACACACGTACACACGCACGTACACACATACACATATACACACGCATATCCACATTTTATTATTCACACATACGCATATAATTATACACATACACACACACGGTACACTTACACATATTATATACACCTACACACTAACGGTACACATACGCACACGTACACATATATACACGTTTATATGTGTGTATGTGCGTATGTGTGTGTATAATATACATGTACACACATACACATAACATACACGTGCGCATACGCATACGCATACACCTACACACAAACACACACACACACACACACACACACACACACACACACACACACACACACACACACACTGTGATTGAGGAAATTAGATAATTTGAGTAGCTATCGAGTCACTGAGCAAGGATTAATGTGTTTTCGCCTCTATTGGCATTCGATGGACTGCTTTCGCCACGCGGGAATCAAACCCACGCTGTCAACTTACACGAGGCGGCTCTCGTGGCCTAGAGGTTAAGGTGTTGGCCTCTCATTCAAAGGTCCCAGGTTCGAATCCGGGCAGCGACCGAAAACTTTTCTTCCCTAAATTATCTCCTTTCACCTCCTGTTCTGCTCTCTAGCAATGTTCTGTCGTCTCCTTTCGTCTCCTTTTTCTTCCCCCACCCCCTCACCTCATCTGCCCCCTCCTCTGGGCTCCTGACTCTTTCTGCAGCCTTTCTACTGCTACTCCTTGGTTCCTTCTTACTGCTGTCTTTCAGCCACACCCCTGATCTTCTAGTGCGAAAGATCTGCTCCTAGACTTCTCGGACGAGGGCGAAAAATGTACAGTGAAAAATGTAGGAGGTCCCGTATGCAAGTTGTGCACTTTAAAGATCCCTTGGTGGTCTAACATCGATAAGAATAGGTTTCGGCCGCCACCCGGGCAAAATTCAAATTAATTTCTTACCATTTGAAAATGTTTGGTGTATCCTGCGCGCTCAATGACCTTATGCAGTTGCGAGCGCCGTAAAACACTTACAAAAATATGTTAATA